TCTGAACGTCTTTTTTGTTCCGGGGCACCGGCCACTCATTGATTCCTTTCAGCTTCGCGGGATCCATCGCCACCTCATCGCCACCGAACACATAGCCGACATAGTCGACCTTGGGAACGTCCCACTCGCACTTCTCAGGCTTCAGGAACAGATCATTATCCTGAAGGCGGCGCAGAACCTCGCGTGTGACCTTTTCATGCTCCTCTTTATTGGTGGAGAAGATGAGTATGTCATCCAGGTACACGAGGATCTTGCCACCGACGATGAGATCGTGGAAGATCTCGTTCATCATCGCTTGGAAAGTCGCGGGGGAGTTGGTGAGACCGAAGAACATCACCAAGGGCTCGTACAACCCTCGGTTAGTCACGAAGGCCGCCTTCCATTCGTCACCGGCTTTGATCCGGACGTTGTTGTATCCCCATCGGACGTCGAACTTCATGAAGAGCGTAGCACCTCGGAGCTTATCCACCATCTCGGCGATCAACGGCAAGGGATAACGATTCTTGACTGTGATCGCGTTCAATCGGCGGTAGTCCTGCACGGGTCGAAGCGTCCCTTCCTTCTTTTTGATGAAGAAAAAGGGGGACGAAATGGGCGACTTCGACTCTCGTATGTAGCCTTTCGCCAGTTGCTCTTTTAGGAACTTGTCCAGTTCCTCCTGCTCGTTGTTCGACAAGGGATACACTTTAGAGTGGAAGGTCGAGTAGCCGGGCACGAGTTCGATAGCGTGATCATACGGCTTCCTTTCGGGTAGCCGTTCTGATGCTTCCTTGGAGAAGACATTCAGGAACTCGTGGTACTGTTTAGGTACCGACTCCTCGGCGGTCTTAACGACCTTCTTTTTGATCTCCTCCTCAGCGAATAGCTGGGAGTACGTATGTCCTGCTGCGACAAACAGCTGAGGAGCGCCAGGAAGCGTGATGCCTTGCTCCCAGGCTTCGATCAAATCGGCCTCATCCCACTCTACCTCCACCGGATCTTCTTCGGGTTCGAAGTCCGGGAGTACCTTACTCCGGCAGGCACCTATAACCGACCGTTTGGATTTCGGCGAACGCCTGCGTGCCGTGGGCCTGACCCCCGTATCACGCGCAGTCGCTGCTTGCTCCATTCGGCCAGTCCTCCGGGCACTGCATGTTTCAGGGCATCGCGACAATTTGAGGGAGCCCTTCTCCCAATCGATTTCAGGGTTGTGCTCGCGTAGCCAATCCAACCCGACAATCACATCTTCTGGACCAATGTCCGTGACCGTGAACACCGTCTTCTCGACGTGCTCTCCTATATGCATCTGTAGCACTGCTACCTCCGAGATGCTTCCGTCCTTGTTTAGGGTGCCGTCAATATTGTATAGCGGAATTGGTTCCTTCAACTTCCGCGTTTGCACCTTATTCTCGATAATGAATTGCTTGTTGATGAACTTCGTGGTGGCTCCGCTGTCCACCATAGCGATTATGTCTTGGTGCCGTCTTTTCCCTTGGAGTCGAACTGGAATGTGAAAATGCTGGGACCCCTGGTCCAGCTCGTACACCATTGCAGTCGACAATACGTTATATCTGTTACATGATGATACTCGCGGCCCGACGCGTGCGGCACGAAGCGCGGACCGGATCAAAAACCCTCCTCCTTCATCGCCCGATAGTGCTCGAGCTCCTCGCGCATCGACTTCACCTGTGCCATTAAGTCCGCCAGCTCCGATTGCTCGGATTTCGCTGAAGCGGCACTTATACTTGCCGAGGGTGTTGTCGTGACGGGGGTGCTTGTCGCAGCCTGGGTGGAGCCCGAGGCAACCGTAGCCCGCGCGTCGGCGCGTTTTGTGTAAGGTTTGTCCTTACAATTGGGGCACTCGAATCGTCGGTACCCTTGCTTCCCACAGCCGAAGCATGTGCCGGGGAAGTTTCCTTTTCCGACGGCCGCATTGATGCTGGCCGAAGCTGCGTGCGACTGAGGTGCACCACCACGTGCCCCTCCGCGTCCTCGACCTCGGGCCGAGAAGAAATTGTTTAGCTCAGGCCGACGGGCCCGGCTGATGTCGAGGATCTGCTCGACCTCAGTGGCGCGCTTGTCAGCTGCTTGCCACGTGGTGAAGGTTTCGAGCTCGATCTTCCGGTACACGCGGGAGGGGATGCCGCTCAGGTACTTGTCGCGTAGCTCCAGGTCCCCATACCCAGAGCGGTCCGCCGGACCCTTGAACAGCGCGGAGAACTCCGCAGCAGTGTGTTTTTCACGGACCGACTTGTCCGCGCAGAGCTTTGCCAGCTCTACTTGTGCTGCCGCCTCGTCGTCGAGATTCCCGAAGCGGGCCTTGAAGGCGGCGGCAAAGGCTGCTTCGTTTCTGAAGAAGGTCGTAGCCCCTTGCACACCTAATTGCACCGATACGAGCTGGGCGAAGTAGGGGGTGGCCCAGGCGCGGGCATCACCGTCGAGTAGGCTCAGCGCAACCTGCACTTTGAGCTCGATGGTGGTCAACGACGTGTTGACCAACCAGTAGATGCGCAGCTGCGACAGGAACCGGTTGCACTCGATGACGGTTTTGCCATCGTATCGGAGTGGGAGGAGGAGTTTCAACGTCTCCTTGTCGGGGACGGCTGCGGGGGACGACATTATCGGCGTCGGGGGGGACGGAGGACGCTGCGGGGGCGGAGGCGGCTGTGGTGGCCCTCCGCTGGTCGAACTTCGAGAGGAGCGAGTGCTCGAGCGGCCTCTCGGCGGAGTCGGCTGTCACGACTTGGTACGGCGTCTAGCCGTTTTTCAATTTTTTCCTTTTCGCGGGCTCGAACCCGCGACCTCTGTACTACCTGCCTGATATGGACACGTCGTTATCTACTGTACGATTAGATTAGATGGGGCGGCAGCGCACGGCACAGCTCGGGCTCCGCTGACACAGCCGCTCTGACTCACCGGCTCCCGGGGCCGCGTCAGCATGCTGCGCACGGACCAGCTGCGCACGGACCAACGCGCACAGCCTGCCCTAATCTCCCCATGTATATAAACCGGCCTCTGCTGCCCTAGGGACCTCAGTTTCGACCTCTTGTCCCTAGGTCAGTAAGCTCATGTACTTACTTACCTTTCTAATGCTAACTTACTTGTCCCTAGCCTTAGGTTTGAGCACTGCTCATCATCGCTTCGGTGAGATCTAGTCGGACGCCCCCAGCCTTTCAGTTTTCTCTAGTCGCTTGACCTCAAGTCGCGACATTAGGTCGAAACTCCCCAAGCTGCCAGCGTCCCCTCGGGACACCCTATATTCACTTTCCTTTCCCACAGGTCGGGTGGTGCGCACCCCTACGGTACATTACGATACGTAGATAGCGTACATACATCGCCACCATTTAGGGAACGAACTCTTCAGTACCTGCACTTCAGTGGGCGGTACTTGTCCTCACGGATGCGTGGACTAGGTTCCTGCTGCATAATAGTCAAAAGCAGTACTGGGCCCCACGTGAACTGCGAACCCTAGTGTCTTCTCGGGCGCCGTAGCGTAGGCTAGCATAGCACGGCCATTGTAGTACGCGCACCTCCCCGTCCTTCCCCCATCCAACGTGGCTGCCTGCCAAGGCCAGATCCATGCATTCGACTCCCAGGACCTCATCGACGTCTACATCCCAGACGGCCCTGAGACTGTCCTCTACCATTGCGAGCAACAACCGTGCCCAAATTGGACACCCCGATCGATCGAGGAAGATTACCCTCGTTACAAGGCGATCCGACGAGCGCAACACCCGCTCGGACCCCAAAGTACCCTCGCGTCTCGATCGGCCTCGCGGCACTCTCGCCCTGTCTCCCCTACCTCCCGCCTCCCTCAAACTGTCGTCAATCAAGCGCGAGGAGATCTCCCTCCAGACCCTGCACCAGAGCCTGAGCCTGAGGAGAGTCACAGTGAAGAAGGAGTCTCGGAGTCCGAGTCCGCGGATCCTGCTCGGCCCGCCTCGCCGACAGCGCTCGCCTCCACGTCAGCAGTCCCTGACATACGTAACCCCTCCACCGAACTTCCTCCGGCGCCTTCACCGCCGACTTCGCCGAGAGGCCGCTCGAGCACTCGTTCCTCCCGAAGTTCGACCGGCGGAAGGCCACCACAGCCGCCTCCGCCCCCGCAGCGTCCTCCGTCCCCCCCGACGCCGATAATGTCGTCCCCCGCAGCCGCCCTCGACAAGGAGATATTAAAACTCCTCCTCCCACTCCGATACGATGGCAAAACTGTCATCGATTGCGATAGGTTCTTGTCGCAGCTGCGCATCTACTGGTTGGTCAACACGTCGTTGACCACCATCGAGCTCAAAGTACAGGTTGCACTGAGCCTGCTCGACGGTGACGCCCGCGCCTGGGCCACCCCCTACTTCGCCCAGCTCGTATCGGTGCAGATAGGTGTGCAAGGGCTACGACCCCCTTCGCAAACGAAGCGGCCTTTGCCGCCGCCTTCAAGGCCCGCTTCGGGAATCTCGACGACGAGGCGGCAGCACAAGTAGAGCTGGCAAAGCTCTGCGCGGACAAGTCGGTCCGTGAAAAACACACTGCTGCGGAGTTCTCCGCGCTGTTCAAGGGTCCGGCGGACCGCTCTGGGTATGGGGACCTGGAGCTACGCGACAAGTACCTGAGCGGCATCCCCTCCCGCGTCTACCGGAAGATCGAGCTCGAGACCTTCACCACGTGGCAAGACGCTGACAAGCGCGCCACTGAGGTCGAGCAGATCCTCGACATTAGCCGGGCCCGTCGGCCTGAGCTAAATAACTTCTTCTTGGCCCGAGGTCGAGGACGCGGTGGGGCACGTGGTGGTGCACCCTCGACGCACGCAGCTTCGGCCAGCATCAATGCGGTCGTCGGAAAAGGCAACTTCCCCGGCACATGCTTCGGCTGTGGGAAGCAAGGGTACCGACGCTTCGAGTGCCCCAATTGTAAGAACAAGCCTTACACAAAATGTGCCGACGCGCGGGCTACGGTTGCCTCGGGCTCCACCCAGGCTGCGACAAGCGCCCCCGTCACGACAACACCCTCGGCAAGTATAAGTGCCGCTTCAGCGAAATCCGAGCAATCGGAGCTGGCGGACTTAATGGCACAGGTGAAGTCGATGCGCGAGGAGCTCGAGCACTATCGGGCGATGAAGGAGGAGGGTTTTTGATCCGGTCCGCGCTTCGTGCCGCACGCGTCGGGCCGCGAGTATCATCATGTAACAGATATAACGTATTGTCGACTGCAATGGTGTACGAGCTGGACCAGGGGTCCCAGCATTTTCACATTCCAGTTCGACTCCAAGGGAAAAGACGGCACCAAGACATAATCGCTATGGTGGACAGCGGAGCCACCACGAAGTTTATCAACAAGCGATTCATTGCAGAGAATAAGGTGCAGACGCGGAAGTTGAAGGAACCAATTCCGCTATACAACATTGACGGCACCCTGAACAAGGACGGAAGCATCTCGGAGGTAGCAGTACTACAGATGCATATAGGAGAGCACGTCGAGAAGACGGTGTTCACGGTCACGGACATCGGTCCGGAAGATGTGATTGTCGGGTTGGATTGGCTACGCGAGCACAACCCCGAAATAGATTGGGAGAAGGGCTCCCTCAAATTGTCGCGATGCCCTGAAACGTGCAGTGCCAGGAGGACTGGCCTAATGGAGCAAGCAGCGACTGCGCGTGATACGGGGGTCAGGCCCACGGCACGCAGGCGTTCGCCGAAATCCAAACGGTCGGTTATAGGTGCCTGCCGGAGTAAGGTACTCCCGGACTTCGAACCCGAAGAAGATCCGGTGGAGGTAGAGTGGGATGAGGCCGATTTGATCGAAGCCTGGGAGCAAGGCATCACGCTTCCTGGCGCTCCTCAGCTGTTTGTCGCAGCAGGACATACGTACTCCCAGCTATTCGCTGAGGAGGAGATCAAAAAGAAGGTCGTTAAGACCGCCGAGGAGTCGGTACCTAAACAGTACCACGAGTTCCTGAATGTCTTCTCCAAGGAAGCATCAGAACGGCTACCCGAAAGGAAGCCGTATGATCACGCAATTGAACTCGTGCCCGGCTATTCGACATTCCATTCGAAGGTGTACCCCCTGTCGAACAACGAGCAGGAGGAGCTTGACAAGTTCCTCAAGGAGCAACTAGCGAAGGGCTACATACGGGAGTCGAAGTCACCCATTTCGTCCCCCTTCTTCTTCATCAAAAAGAAGGAAGGGACACTTCGACCCGTGCAGGACTACCGCCGATTGAACGCGATCACGGTGAAAAATCGCTATCCCTTGCCGTTGATCACCGAAATGGTGGACAAGCTCCGTGGCGCTACGCTCTTCATGAAGTTCGACGTCCGATGGGGATACAACAACGTCCGGATCAAAGCCGGTGACGAATGGAAGGCGGCCTTCGTGACTAACCGAGGGTTGTACGAGCCCTTGGTGATGTTCTTCGGTCTCACCAACTCCCCCGCGACTTTCCAAGCGATGATGAACGAGATCTTCCACGATCTCATCGTCGGTGGCAAGATCCTCGTGTACCTGGATGACATACTCATCTTCTCCACCAATAAAGAGGAGCATGAAAAGGTCACACGCGAGGTTCTGCGCCGCCTTCAGGATAATGATCTGTTCCTGAAGCCTGAGAAGTGCGAGTGGGACGTTCCCAAGGTCGACTATGTCGGCTATGTGTTCGGTGGCGATGAGGTGGCGATGGATCCCGCGAAGCTGAAAGGATCAATGAGTGG